TATTCCACTTGTTTTCTACTTCTAGAAGATAATTATTTTATTGAAATGCATGTGCTGCATAAAAAGTGATTTAAATTAGAATACTCCTACTAACCTTCTCTTCTCACATGACTAAACCAAATAAAACAATACACCTAGTATATTACGCAAAGCGCTTTAAAAGTGTTTTGTAACTTTCAGAAAGAAATACTTGCCTGGTTCAACAATGAGTTTTGTTCCGCCGCCAAATATAATTTTATAATTTCCTGTATTCACACAGAGCTACAACCTATACCAAATACCCCATGCACATCTCTCTTTGCAGAGAGCTGCCGTTCACGTTTAGAAGTGTTTTATGACTAAAGATGTAAAGAGAGAAGACTGATTCTTTTTACATATGCATTTTCTGTTGTGCAGTATTACACTAGTATGGGGATTTGGTATAATACATGCATATTAAAAACAGTTCAACAGTTTAGCAACGGTCAAGTTTTTATAATTCACCTGTTAAGATCTAACATCTACACTACTAAAGCTGAATAAATGAACATTAGATTACATTACAATACTGTCTAAAGGTGTTATGAGACTGGGTACGTTTGTTTTTAAGGTATTAAGATCTTCTCATACCTGAATTTATTGTGAGTTTTGTTCCTTTTCCAAAAATAACCTTCCATGTTGCTCCACTGCTAGACACACAGTGCTCTGTGCGCTAACAAATACATGGCCACTTTCATGACAGCGACAAAGTGAAAATGCACAAATATAAATACCTGACAATAACTAAAGATACAAGATTCTTGAATTGCTAAATTTGCATCTTGTCAAAAGCAACTTATAATGTGAATTTTTATTCTTCCTTAAAAATATTATTTGACTTGGTTGTATAACTTTACATTCGTTTTCAAATTGGGTGTTGACTGACTGATTTAAATGAGGCTAATGTGCCTTAATGTCCTTGGTATTTTTTGATGTGTAATGCAAATGGAAATGTCTAAATATAATAGCTTGTGCTGCTTTTTGTATACTCACTCTGAGTTTTGTTCCTTTTCCAAAAATAACCTTCCATGTTGCTCCACTGCTAGACACACAGTGCTCTGTGCGCTAACAAATACATGGCCACTTTCATGACAGCGACAAAGCGAAAATGCACAAATATAAATACCTGACAATAACTAAAGATACAAGATTCTTGAATTGCTAAATTTGCATCTTGTCAAAAGCAACTTATAATGTGAATTTTTATTCTTCCTTAAAAATATTATTTGACTTGGTTGTATAACTTTACATTCGTTTTCAAATTGGGTGTTGACTGACTGATTTAAATGAGGCTAATGTGCCTTAATGTCCTTGGTATTTTTTGATGTGTAATGCAAATGGAAATGTCTAAATATAATAGCTTGTGCTGCTTTTTGTATACTCACTTGACTGAACTTGTAAACTTGTGCAACTTTACATAGCAAAATAAGTGGCTGCAATAAATATATTTATGTTCATGATATTTCATGCAATCTTCACTATATAATTATTTGGAGACCTTTTATGATCAACCGATAAACTACAAAACAAGACATAACCAAATGAAGAATACGCACCAGTCAAAGCTTTTTTTTAAAGATTTCCTATCCATTCAAATCAAATATGCATTGGATGAACATAATGTACTATAAAACAAATGAGAGCATGCCAAAGACCTAATGAGATAAAAACTACTATGGATTGGGCTTGCCTGTACAACATCACTAAATTCAATGACACAACATGAACATAAAGTGTTCTGTTGTAAATGACTCAAATACTTGCCTGATTCAACAATGAGCTTTGTTCCACTTCCAAAAAACAACTTGTTAGTATTTGCATCCACACAGCACTACAACCTGCATCAAATACTCAATGCACTACTTGTCATTGCAGAAAAATGAAAGATTTAGACTTGAAAAGTAGAATTTTTAAAACTGATGAAGGGAATAATAAATGTTTTCACATATTTATTTACATTATGATGTTGTGTAATATTACACCTGTAGTTTCATTTGCTTTCCTTACATTAAATTTCAGTTTCTTGTTAAACAATTTGATGTTCTTTTAACCATCACACTCTCAGTCCAATAACCAAAGAGTCTGAAATGAACAGAAAACAGAAAGAATGTTTTTTTAAGAAGTCCTACCACATGATAACGAACTTGGTAAAAACTTAGTATTTTTACAAATTCATATAGTTCAGCAAATTTAGTCTGTTTTCTTAGTACTTCTTCTGTTTCTATAACAGGCATCATTTTTTACTTACTTGATTCAACGAAGAGTTTGGTCCCTTGACCAAAACTCAGCTTATTTCCAGCGTCAACATTCACACAGCGTACTACCCCACTACAAAAACCATTTCTAAGGTACGATAAATGTTAGAAGCTAAACCAATGCAGAAATGCACCCACCTGTATTTTTGGGGATTTAAAATGATGAATTTGACTATGTATCTTTGTCATGTAGTACATTGTTAAGGAATTTAACAACTGAAAATATTAGTATTATACATAACAGTTTAGTTTCCATTGTCAAACATATAATTTTCATATGCATTTTACTTACTGGTTTGAATTAGCAACTTTGTTCCTTTTCCAAAAAAGATTCTGTCTGCACTATTAGACACACAAAGTGACGCTTCATACCAAATACCGCCAAACACAGAAACTGCTATTTGTTCACTCAACAGAACCATTTTTACTTTTATAATTACTATTTTAGTAGTACAGTTTATTACAGCATTTTATTGTTATGCATTCATTAGCTTTTCTTTATTTTTCAAAGCATAGATTTAAATCTGAAATGTATAAGAATTTAATAACGGGGCATGTTTAAAAGAGATTCCTTTTTAGAGAATTAAAATTTCATAAGACGCATATGCTTTTTGGTGTATTTGTTTCATGAAGAGAGCAACTCAAGATTGACTAACTTTCTCTGGGACTTTCACTCAGCAACCCTTCAGAATCACCTTTCATAGAGTTTCAACGTTTCAACCTTTGTCCAATTACTAAAGCAATACTAGCACCAAAGTCACAGAACTTTCTAACTTAAAAAACGCACAACTCTGAAGATGTTTTAACTGAATTTTTTCAAACGTGCAAACTTACTTGAATGGATGAAAAGTTTGGTTCCTTTACCAAATATTATCTTTCCAAGGCTGCCAGTATTCACACATGGCTATACATCCATACATAAACCTATACATCAGTGGCAATCTCTAAAACTACATGCTGCCTATCAAAGGAGATTTCATTATGCATTTTTATTTTTAATTTTTTTTTATTTAATATTATTAAATATTCTGTTAGATTTGTTTGTTCAAGAAAACTTCCCATGTTATATGTAACATATATAGCATGTTTTAATTCTACCTCTGAAAAAATCACAGCGGAGCCATCAAGAATGCTGTACTCGTATGATAAATGTAGTAAACAATCACAAACACTAAATATTTAATTACACCGCATGTTTAGGTATGTTTTGAAGAAGTATGACAAAAATAAGTAGTTTTAAAATGCACACAAAATATATGTTGAATTATACTTAACTACTTTTTGCAAACTGCTTATTTAGTATTTAAAGTCATTTCTAAGATACATATTTTTAGTGATTTAAATATTAGAGAGAGCAGAAACTTACTTGATTCCACAATAAGTTTGATGCCATTTGCAAAAATAAGCTTGTCATTCCCTCTAGTCACACAAAGTTATACACCATAACAGAAACTCCCTGTAAATGCCTCAAACCCATCGTACAGTAATTTTGAAAAAATAGATATGTTTTGAAATCAATTTCAATAATTGAATAAATTATTTATATTTTCTTATTAAGCGGTATATGATATTTAGTTGAATTTTCACATAGATTGAAATTGGATTTAGCTGGGGAAAAAAGTAACTGAATACTAAACACTTTCAAATATAACAGCAATGCAGTTGAATCTTTTAATGTTGATGCAACATGACTTTCTTTTAGATTTGACAAAAAAGATACTAAGATTAAACCTTATCGTTACAATTACTCAAATAGATTTTTAGAAGCAAAACACTAAATAGGACCTGCAATCAATTTTATGTTTAATCTAACATCTGAATTCAGTGACCTATCAAAATATTTAGTTCGACAAATAAACAACTTACTTGATTCCACAATGAGTCTGGTACCATGGCCAAATACGACCTGGTTAACCCCTACTGCATTCTCACAACGCTACACTGCATAACAAAAACACCTCAACATAACTCTATTTTTAAGGACTGACACTAGATTTAATATTCCACTCTCAGAACAGTTTTCTACTCATTTCCCACTAATTGTTGTTATTTAAAATAACTAATAAAAAAAAAATAATGAAACATTTACAGTATGTACTATGTTAATCGTTACGTTAGTCAAACATTGCATTTGCAACTAATATACAATCAGACAGAATGCTGTTTGTACTTTTCTTTTTCATGCTTTGAAAATAAAAACTAACTGGTTTGTAAATAAGCTGATGAGTGAATTAATATGTATGTCTGTTTAATAAACAAAGTAGTACATAAATGTCACTTTCTTGCATCACAGAAGACTTAAACGCAATAAAGAATTATAAATCTCACCTGATTCCACTATAAGTTTTGTACCGGTGCCAAAGATTATCTTATTGACTCCCTGCTCATTCACACAACACTAAACACCATATCAAATATCCTTCAGTGCAAACAACTGATCTACATTTCTATGTGCAAACTCAAAACTAAACATTTCAATTATATGCTTTGAATTATATGAATTGAAGTGATGGTCATATGAAAAATCATCATCATTTCACTACCCTTTAAATAAAAAATTAAATTTAAAATTAAATTTAAAAAAAAGTAGTTTCAAGCCAAAATGTCATGCTATAAAGCAACAATAAAAGCTATTTAAAATAATACTCACTGGTCTGCACAATTAACTTTGTTCCAGATCCCATAAAGAGCTTGGAGCCCGAACTAGACGACCACAGTGTTGCATTCTCAGACATAAAACCTCCTCACACAAGATACAGATAAAGAAGATAGTTTAAAATGGTATATCTTCAAATCATAATTTACCAAACATTCAAGATCAATGATGATAGCTTAAAATGCTCAAAACACGTCTATATTTTATATAATTTCCCCCTAAATGTTAGAATTATTAAATGCATGCCAAAAACTAAAAGTTTCAATTCAGTGATGGCGTTAATAATATTATGCATCAATAATCTTAATGCTAAAAACTCTTGAATACATTTAAACGTGATATTGTGGTGAAACAAGTCAATTCTGAAAGAGTTGAAATCCTTACCTTAGTGTCCCTACTCCAAATGTATATCAGATCCTGGAATAAGTTTGCACTTCCTCTGTAAGAAACAGTGTGTGTATTAAGAGTCTTAAAACTTAATCCAAACCAGAAAATTAAAATCCCACTTTGTCCAGCAGAACATTTTAGTTTAGGTGAAAACTATCATTCAAATGAGAAATATATGGTAACTCACCTCTTCATATAGACATCGGTGTTCTACTGGCCTAGTTTTAACGTTACACATGGCCTTAGTTCTTGTTCATTTCTGTGAACCAACCTACAGAAGCAATCTCTGAAATAATAATAGGCTAACATTTACATTTGCTTTACTCAGTTTTGTTTTGTAAACGCATACTAAAACTAAATGTCTAACTAAACTGAACGCAGTTTAGTCTTATTTTAAGGCGTTTTTAGCTCTAAGTTAACGTTTGTGCTGGAACAAAACACTTAATATCGAGTGCCTCTTTATATTTAATGGAGTATCAAGCAAAAACAAACGTTCTGGCTAGTTACCCATGCCACCGTGTGCTATTTGCAGAGAGCGAAGATACATTTTTTTATTCTGTGATAGAAAGTGTCTTCTAACAGCGGGGTTGAGCCAGACTGAAAACGGGACATGGGCCAGGCCAGACTAGAATCATGTTTCCCTTGAGCCAAAAGCTTTTGCGAGTCTTGCATGTTCACCTTAGCAAAAAAAAAACCGTGGAACATGCGGAATCACATTGGATGTCAATGCTCAGTCGGCCACTAGAGGTCACTCAAGTCCGCCAGTCAAAGCAAACGGCAAAATCCCACTAACCGCCACAGGAGGGCAGTACACTTTATTTCATGGTCTTAGATGAGTAGCAAGCTCAGCTCACCGTTTTCATGAAAGAACGTTGAGAACATTACTTAATAGCCTATTCATTAATAAATAGTTCATAAATAATACAAATTAAGTGATTTATAAAGACAACTAAAAAAAGTGCTCTCAACAGACTTAGTTAGCCTATGTCTCACAAATGTAGACTAATCATCAAAACAGTGATTTGACTAACTATTTTGAGAAATATTTATTTTGAAAAAATTGTATGTAAAAGTTAAGTAATTAATTACAAGCTCCAAAAACTGTAGCTGTAAGACTTTACAGCTGTGTTTCTCTTTCTATAACAGAGTGGAAAAAAGTGTAGCCACAAACATACTAATTCTTGGAACCCAAAGCTAGCAGTAGATCTTTATCTGAAACTGTGGTTAGAATCTGCCTCCAGTACGAATGTGCTGTTGAAACTGTGGTTTAGACATACTCACATGAAACTTCTCTTTTATCAAGACATTTTATTATTTAATATATTTTTGGAAAATCATATTACATGCAAAGATCAGAGCCTCAATAGTTAAGTCAAATAGTAATCCGTTACACGATTAGACAATGTAAAAGTCTTAAACAATGCAATGCTGTTATGTAAAAAAAGAAAAAAGTAAAAAAAAAAGTAAAAGTATCAAAAAATGTACTTGCACCTGTTTGCAACTAAAGCCAGAAAATACACACACCATTGCAAAGCAATACGCACATTACACCACTGAATTCAGAAATGTTTCTAAATGTCAAAAAGGTTTGCAATGTTTGTCGATATTCTGTATATATGAAAGACATTACTAACAATTTGTATTTTCATTCCATTTAACATTATTAGACAGAATATAGATTAATACTGACCCTGTGGCTGACTGTATAACCGCATTTGTTTGTTTGTCAGGGTTCGATCAAGCTCCAGTTCAAAATTGAGATTATTCAGATGATTTGGCTGAATTGAACTTTTAAAATACGAATGCCTTTACAGTCATCATTACATTAACTGCAACACATTTAGCAAGCAGAATTCTCAGACCTGTCACAAGAAGATTCATGAAGTTCATTTTTGGATCACCTGAAAAAAACAATAAATGAATCATCCTTTGATATTAAATGAATTTAAATCTTGTAAATCATAGCATAACGTAGATAAGTTCACAAATGCAAGATATACATGTAGAATATCTTATGTATTTTATTACTAACCAGTGTCTATGAACCCTGAGGGAGAAGTTCTAGCATTTGTTTCACAAGACTGTGGAGTCAGTTTTTCGGGTTTATCTGCAGAATAAAAATTTAAGTAGAACAAAACAAATAATTCTTAATATATATTTTGTATTCACAATACTTAAAAAATGAAATCACATTTAAAAAAATGAAAAAATAAACAATAATTATCCATTTAAGTACAAACCTGTCGTGTCAGGAGTGTCAGGCGTTTTGTCTGCAGTTTCTTCATCCATTTGGCATTTTTGGATTTCATCATCAGAGGATCCAGCATAATAATAGGTTTTGGACGATTTGAACAAAGGTGCATTGCTGGTGGTAAAATTCTCAGGTTTTTTCACTTTCATATTCAAAGTCATAGTCTTTTCTTGAGGAAAGAACCCGGCGGCCAGACAAATATCTGGTCCTTTGCCATTGAAAGGGGACAAGATGGACAGAAACGGAGGAGTTGGCGCTACATCTTCTGAACAAAGAAAAATAAGCAGTTTTCATCAGTTTTTTAGTCCTTTGGCAAGACTGTACTTTTTACATATGTGGCAGTTGCAAAACTATGCTCATGATGTCAGTGAAAAACTTTTGCAATCATCTATTCATGCACAAAACATCCCTAGTCTTATGAACAAATACAATTACTCAACTAGAAATGTTTTCTTTGGAGCAACAGCCCAAGTTACCAAACATACCGTGATCTGAAGCTGAGTGCAGCACAACCAACTAACCAACCATTACAAGCTATTTTACGGAGTTTTTCACTATTTTCTCCAGCACATAAGTTGGTGTAAAAGCTCGTAACAGTTAAAAAGAAGTACTTACTTGGTACGACCTTGAGGGTTATCGGCTTTCCGAATGTTAAGGTGTCAGTAGCTGAAAATGCACTGCTACCGTAACCCTTACAAAAACACTCCTGACCCTACATCAGCATTGGGACTGACAAACTGACCTAACCGAGCCCTGCTAACTACAACTAACTGACCAAAGTTCGTGTTTTCACAAATTCAGGTGTATGGTTTGGAAAACTGCAATATGATAACGTTGAAAGTGGATTTACTTACTTGGATTGACTGTGAGACGGATGGGATTTCCAAAAGTTAGTGGGTCTGCACTTCATTCAGCCCCTTGACAATATCCTTTAGTAATGCAAAGTATCCGCACGTCTTAAGAAATACACTAAAGACCGATCTGAAAGTTTGATGTGAAACATCCAGTCGAAGAAGTCCAGCTTGATATTCTTTCAAAGGTAATTCCATCTGTCAGTCATCCTCGTGATATACCCATGTCTGCTCAATTCACATACAAACAGGTGGCTGGAACAAAAGCCTTCAAGACAAAAGCATCAAGATTGAGAGAATAGTTCTGTGATAGTTCAGTCTTTCAGTTAGATATTGGTTTAAATGTATCAATACAGTTTATAAACACAAATAAGAGGGCTATGAGATTTTGTACAGCGCCTAATGAAGAATGTATCACTGTGGTAGTCCAGACACAATGAAAAACATCAATACAAAAACCCATGCCCTCTATTGAGGGGCTGTCTTATATGGAAGAGAGAGAAATGCTGTCATCTGAAGAATCTTCTCAACAGATATATTTGACTAAAACTATGTTTAAAATCCATAGCCATGAGATGAAACCCCAAGCTGCAGTGGATGTCTTCATGTCTAAGATGATAGAACAGCCTCAGAAGGATCATTCAATGCAGTGACAGTCAGTCAACCTTTGTGAGGTTTTTGTATGGGACAAAACTTGAATCGAATCACTGTGGTACCCCTGTCCACACAAAGACACAGCTCGAAACAAAAACCACCCTCCTCTGTGTGATTGAATCACTTCAGAATAAGTAAGCACAAATATACGGAGAAATTGGCACCTAAAAGAACATCTTGAAGAAAACTCTTCAGAAACAGGACATTTTTGAAAATAATTGGTTTTACCTTACATTGGGGCTCTTGTGATAATGTAATTCAGTTTAAGAATAAAGTAAGTGAGGAATACTACTAAACTTGTACCTGACATATTACTTTAAGGAGATGTTTGTATTTACATAGTCATTTATTACAATTGAATATAATTACTAATATTAATTATATTGACATAATAGATGTAACAGGCACTATAAACTGTTATTAGATTAATTTTAAGTATTATTTTGTTGAGTTGACTGATATATACTGACATATCAGTATATAAATACACATGCATCTTGAATTAAATACTTTCACCATTATAAATTAATTTGAAAAAAGTTGATGAATTTACCATGTACTATTAAAAGAATAAAGTTGGTGATCCAAAATCTAGGAGAAAATAATAAAATGCAATATAATTTAGTTAGTGCTGTCAACCGAATTTCAGGAAAAATGTGCAATTAATTAGTTATTGGTTTAATAACTAATTAATTGCAAATTTTTCTGAAATGAATCGCGATTAATCCCACCTAGCACTAAAGTTTTTTAAAACACTTTTATATTGCAATAATGGCACATTCAATCTTCAAATTAATGTAGAAAAAAACCAAAGACAGTATATTTTTAATATTTGTTTAGTGGCATCTTTTTTATGACTAAAGGCGAGTATTAATGATGCCCCAATGAAATAGTTTTTTCCCCCTATATTTAACCATTGATTATAGCCATTCAACATTACAGTACAACTATCACTTTTAACATTTTTTAGACTTTTAAAAATAACTTTTAATTTAAGTGAACTTAAAATAATTTTCACATAAACCCCTTATAATAAATGTCATATTTAGTGCCCTTCAGCAAGTAGGAAATATATAGATATTGAATAAAGTTATCAAACACTAAATTCTAAATTAAATATAGATGGATCCTTAAAGCTTATTGTTTTCTTGTGTTCTTTGATTAATAGACATCACAGCAGCTGGGTTATTAGGTTATTTTGGCTGCTTTAAGAGCTGTCGCTGCTAAACGTGATGCAGATCTGACACGCATCGTATTTTCTCACAACTCTTTACCTTTTCTGACCCACTTCAGGTCTTAAAGTCTACTAATGAGCTAACGAGTTGAATCGGGTGTGTTAGATGAGGGAGACAGTGCTGGAGTGCTCCAGGACAGTTTGGAAAACCACTGTGTTTCAGAGACATATTCTTAAATGTGACTCATAACAAATACTTAGCTACATGCATGCACAGATTTAAGGCAGCTTTAATCGCCTTTTTTGGTAACTTCATGACTTAACTGACAACATAACTACAACATGGTATGCTCATAGTTTCTTTTGCGCTTTAATGTGAAATTATATAGGCTACAGCTCATCGCTGCAGCTCGTGCAATTGAAGAGCACATGCTACGAGCTCAGTATAATGGCTCATGGGACAGGAAACTTTGTTTTTACTGACATATGGCCTGACAAGATCTCATCTGAGCGCAGTTCACTGTTGTTCTACTTAAGCTCCCTCATCACCTCTATCTTTTCTGCGCTCTGACTAGCGCCTGGGAGAAGGGCCTGGCTGCAGACTGGCGCTTGCACTCTCAGACTTGCATTCTCAGGCTTGCACTCTCAGGCTTGCACTCTCAGACACTTGCACTTCCACTAGCGATGCTACGAGCTCAGTATAATGGCTCATGGGACAGGAAACTTTGTTTTTACTGACATATGGCCTGACAAGATCTCATCTGAGCGCAGTTCACTGTTGTTCTACTTAAGCTCCCTCATCACCTCTATCTTTTCTGCGCTCTGACTAGCGCCTGGGAGAAGGGTCTGGCTGCAG